TCCGAGGGGGCACTGACAGACTGAAAGGCCCATACTTTTTCTGTTGGTATTCAAAGACATGTTCAGTTGACTCTACAAATTTCAACCAGGCCTGAATTAACGTGTTTATTAAGATGTGAGGTGTTTTCTTTCTGTAAGTCAGATTTATATAACGGTATGGAATTAGAAGATAGGAAATCTCGAAGGGACCTTAGCGGTGGTTTTTCAGCCTTTTCATTGCTTAGATGAGGCAACAGCCCCAGTAAGGGGTAACCGACTTCCTCTGGACCAGTTGCTTCGCTAGTTAGTTCCGGCCAGGATAGACCAGGGTCTTCCACGTCCTAGGTCACTGCTCTCCACACCCAACTGGTCTGCATTCAGACATCAGGGAAAGTAGGCTTCAGTGAAATGAGATTTGGAAGTTTCAATAAATGTATGAACTTTTAAGCTACTAAAACAAGGCCTGTCTATGAGGTGAATATGTGGAATAGGTAGAAGGTTCTCTAGTACAGTGGTTTAAATTGGCAGGCTCTAAACTTAGGCTACCTGGGTTCAAATCCTGGCTGTGTCATTTACTAGTTGTTCGACCTGGACGAGTTTCTATTTCCATTACTATAAAATGGAAATAAGAGCAGCACCTACTTGATGGGGCGGTGGTGGCGCCCGGAAGAGGAGGATACTGTGTTTAGTGTAAGTGGGGTCCTGACACGTCGGCCCAGACACGCATTACCTCTCATTATTATTCAGCACCGTCATCATCGTCGTCACCATCATCATTTGACTTCTGGGAGACTTTTTAAAACTTGACCTGGGGGTGCCTGGGTGGCTCAGTTGGTTAAGGGACTGCTTTCGGCTCAGGTCGTGATCCTGGAGTCCCTGGATCGAGTCCCGCATCGGGCTCCCTGCTCGGCGAGGAGTCTGCTTCTCCCTCTGACCCTCCCCCCTCTCATGTGCTCTCTCTCTCTCATTCTCTCTGTCTCAAATAAATAAATAAAATCTTTAAAAAATAAATAAATAAATAAATAAATAAATAAAATAAAACTTGACCTGGGAAGACCGTAAACTCTTAATTTAGGATTTCACTCATCCCAGGTTAATCCTTTGTCCCAATCCTCTGTTCCTTCGGTGTCCCGGGCTAGAAGTTTTGTCATCATCTTTTGCTCTGTCTCCTGTAGGCCCATGCATGGTCTGTCTGTCACCAGGTCCTATCTTGTTGGTTTGAAGTGTTTCTCAGTTAACCCCTTCCTCTTCTTTCCCATCCTAATTCGCCGGGCCCTGATTCCCTCAGGCCTGGATTACTAATTCAAGCCTCCTAGTTTCTTTTTCCTGACCACAGCTTCTCCTACTTAAGTCTTACTTCTTCCTGGTTTAGGAAAACAAAAGAGGGATGGTAATACCATGCCTGTTTTATAGGGTTGTCCTACACAAATGTGAAATGGGAAAGTAATTAGTAAGCTGCAGAGCTCCATAAGAATGTGTGGAACTCATCATCATGAGTCAAGATTTTACAGACATGAGAGTAGGGTACCTTTGGAGTAAGTTGAAAGAAAAGACTGTATTAAGAAGGTAAATGGGGCGGGGGGGCGTCTGGCTGGCTCAGTCGGGGGAGCGTGTGACTCTTGATCTCGGGGTTGTGAGTTCGAGCCCGACGTTGGATGTAGAGATGACTTAGGAATAAAATCTTTAAAAAAAAGAAGGTAAATGGGCTGTCCTGAATTCATTTATTTAAAAAAGTCCACTCCGAGCAATGAAGAGTATAATGAGAATGAGAATGAAGAATATAAACATCTACTTTCTGCCACTAGCTCTTTATAATTATCTTTTGGGAAGAAATTTGTCTCATGAATAAGGTTCTCTAAATATTGAGATTAATCCATAGGCTTTTCCCTCCTCAGCATTGTGAGGAATGCATTTAGGGACATTCGGTTTTCTCTTGAAGGAGCTAGACTGCTCCGAAGACATGTGGCCCCCACACTTTGTAGTACCGAGGTGGGAGTAGCATCCAAATTTCTTGTACTGTTCCATTCACCGCAAAGAATTGGAATTGACCTAAAAACCATGCCAGTGATTCAGGTGCAGAAACGATTTGTAAAATGCTTTCAATTCATAGTATAAGGGGAAACTCAAAGGGCAATTATTCTGACAGATTGATTAGTAAGATGATGAACAATCAGGACACATTATTTTAAATATGGATGAGTTACAGGGTGCTTGCTTACGTGGTACTCATGTCTTATCTCAGCCCTTCCCCAAACCAAGTAGTCAGCTAATTTTTCTTTGCTCATGCCCTGAACTACTTTGTGGCTCCCGGGAGTTCAGTGCTCGCTGTAGTGAAGTAACTCCGAAAAAGAAGTCAACTGTATAAAGTGGCTTGTGGGTGAACGACGGGCCATTCTCAGATTTGCCCAGGCCACAAAGCTCAACTTAATGGACGACCTTTCTCCCTCACCCAGCCCTTCTAATTAGCTCCTAAGAACTTCTGACTCCGCCTCTGAAACACTTTGTTCATCGGCAGCCTCCTCTCCCTTGCCGCCGCTCTTGCTCAGGCTTTCATCACTCTTCCCATAAGCTATTGCAACAGTTTCCAAACCAGTTTCCCTGCCTCGAGCTTCAGCCTCCCCACCACCCCCCAATTTATTCTCCAGCCCCCCAGCGGAACGATCTTGCTAAAATCCAGATCTGATCGTGCCCCTCCCCTAATTAAAAACCTCAAGTCATTCCCAGAGCCAACAGATAAAATCCAAACTACAGAGCACAACGTACAAAGCACCGTACAGTGAGGGCCCCACTTACTGGCCTCGCCTCCCGCCATGTACCCAGAGCAATGATAATCAAATTACTTGCGGTTCCCCACGAAGCCCTAGCCTTCTATGGACGCTCGTTCTCTTTCTTGGCGTGCCCCTCCACTCCCACCATCAGGGCGGGTTGCCCCGTGCTCTTCCGCAGATGCCCCGTGTTCGGTGAGAAGCCCTCCCCGACTTTCTGGCCACTTGTCCCTTCAGCCTGTAGAACTGCATTTCTCATTCCTCTGTGGCAGGAGTTCCTCGAGGGCTGAGCCCTTTCCATATCCCCGGCGTGTAACGTTCTGCCCAGTGCGGCCAAGTTGGCCCATGCAAATGTGTTGACTGAAGGAAAGACTTGCTCTGTCCCTGCCAATGGCCGACCTTTCTCTTCGGCCACAAGGAAGAAAGCTTATTTTTGAACTCAGTGTGATTTGTAACCTTCTGATGTTTCTAGGTATTTGGTGAGGACAATTTCCACCACAAGCCTTCCTTTTAAGTAAAGCTGAGTTTGTCTAATCCAGCAAGATTTTCCTGGGGCCACAAGGAATTGTTCTCATGCTCTACTTTGCCTGGGCGCTAGAAGTCATATCCACAGTGTGGCCAAAGGAGCACGTGGAAAGGTTTCACCTTTAGATCCTTCGCTCTATAGGATATGTTAGGAGTCTTTTTATTTTTATTTTAAAGATTTTATTTATTTATTCATAAGAGACAGAGAGAGAGAGGCAGACGGAGAAGCAGGCTCCCCGCTGAGCAGGGAGCCCAACGCGGGGCTCGATCCCAGGACCCTGGGATCATGACCTGAGCCGAAGGCAGACACTTAACCGACTGAGCCACCCAGGCACCTGTTAGGAGTCTTTTTAAAGGACAACTAAGCACATCTTTAATTTCACAGAATCCCAGACTATTGGACTGGACTGGATCTTAACCAGGCTCTGGACTGTTCAGCGGAAGGGGGCGCCATTCTCACGGATTCCAACGGGAATGACCCCTCCCTTGGGTTGTGTTTTGCGCAGCCTCACGCAGTGTCCCTGCTTGCTTAACCCTCTTCATTTGCAGAGCATACAATTTAGGTCCTCAGAGCCAACAGGTTCGCTCCAGGTCACGCAGACTCTGCCCCCTCCCCGCCCCCCCCCCCCGAGTCTGTCTCCCACTCATCCTGACCCAAACTGCTTCTGGAGACTGGGAAACTAGCGAAGATAGTGTTTGCTGTGGTTGCGTGGATAATGGACAGGATGCCTTCAGCTAAACATGACCTTTAAATGCTTTATCGCTTATTATTTGCTTTTGCTTCCACATCCAGCTGTCCTGGCCCAGTTGGCATGACTTCAGCATTCAGCATCTCACACTGCTGCCCTCGGGGCTGCCGAGACCCAGGTGGCCATTCCTCCCACCAAGTTGCCAAGCTGTGTGCTGTTTGCTCTGTCCCTGGCTGGCCTTCTCTGTGACCCGCTCTTAGCTGCCAAGTCTTCTTTTGGCTTCTCTTCTTTGCATTTGGTGCTGCTTTGTTTTTGTGGCCGTGACTGACCAGTCACCGTGATCTTTTCCTTCTCTTCTACAAACCATTCAATCAGAGCGTGTTGGCTGCTGGCCTTGGGTCTCTGGATCTTGGCCGCTGTCCATGGCTGCTGGGGGTGCCGAGGGGGTGCTGCTTCTTTGCCAGAACTTTTTAAATTTCTTTCTCCCCCCTTTCCTAGATTTGGGGCTTTCTGAATGTTTGAAGATGCCAGAAGGGTTGTCTCCAAATAGTTGTGGCTCTATTCCTAGAATTCCCCCTTGACTCTTATTTAAAGTGAAAATATTGTTTGGGCGGAAGAATCTTGGTTAGAAAAGTTCAAGTAGATCAGACAGTCAAGAGCAAGTTGTCTCTATCAAGGACAGTGCATTTAAAAATAGTCCTTCCTCTCCTCCTCACTTCATGCTCATCATCCGTGTCAAAGTAAGGTAAATACTGAGGTGTTTGGGTAGGTTCGATTGGACCTGAACAGAAGATTGGACTTCTTGAGCCAGAGCCTTCCGGCCGTAATGGACGAATGCACTGTTTGCATCTTTGCTGTTGGTCATTAATGCTGACAGATCTTTCTGAAACTGATTGCTTGCTTTAGTTCCACTTGGTCAGTCAAGACATAGAATAGGATTAGATCAAGGAACTATTAATTTGTTAGAGGTTAGTGGCTGCTTGCACTTTATATATTGTTCATTGTATAATCGGGAATTTCTTTGTAAATGTTTGGTTTTCAGGCTGGTTGGAAGGAAAATCACGCAACATTCATGAGTGAACTAAAAAATCTTCAGGCTTCTGGACTGACTACTCTTGGTCAGGCTCTAAGATCCTCATTTGATTTGTTAAATCTCAATAGATTAATATCTGGAATAGACAATTATGGACAGGTAAAAAAAACTTTGAGTGAGTACAGCTAATTTATTTTGGTGACTTGGGGTAAGAGTTTAAAATTGGGCGTGGTTACCGAGTTTTCTGCTACTTTTCACAACTGCCAAAAGGAAGTCCGTATCTTTTAAATACCTGCTTTAAAAAAGATCCCTCTTTTGGGGTGGGGGCGGGGAGGGTCCTTGTATGTGGCTTGATCATATAAAATATGTAGTGAAAATTGCCTCCCCATCAGATCATCACCTATCTGAGAATGGAATGAATAAATTGCTGAGAAATATTGGAACGAGGCTTTTAAGGAGAAATTTTCAGTGTCCTGAACTCCCTCGTCTCTCCCAATTCAATGGAAAAGCTCTAGAATAAGAGAAAGGCAAGATAGCATCTGGTGCTCCTGTTGTCCTTACTCTAGAAAACTCTGCGCACAATAACCAGAGTCACTGTCCCGGCTCCAGAGCATAAATCACTACTGAATGATATGAATTCCTCAGTTTATTCTGAATGTTACCTCAGCAGGGATCCTTACTTTGATTCCCACCCGCTTCAGTCCCTAATCTTTTCCTTCTTATTTATCCAGGCAAATTTTATCACACACTTGAGACATCCCTGTCTCAATGTAAAGGCAAGGCAAATGTAAAAAAAAAAAAAAGTTTAAATACGATTTTATTACTTTACATGGCTCTAATACTTTTTAAATGTATTTTAGGGGAGAAATCCATTTTTTTTAGAACCATCTATTTTAATTACCATCACAGATGGAAACAAGTTAACAAGTACTGCTGGTGTTCAAGAAGAGGTGAGATTTCGTTTTTTTTTTTTTTTTAAGTTTCGCTTAAATGGCAGAGAACATGCCGCTATTTCTGTGGGAGGCCCGCATGGCCAGTTAAGAATAAGTTTGATCAAACCTTCCACGTTCACGAGCCCTGAAAGATTGTTGAGTCCACGAAAGAAAAGTGACCCTGTTAACTCTTTCTTCACTGTTGCACGGGTTGTTATGATGAAACGTCTCAACTTTTGCCTTATCAGCTTCATCTCCCTTTGAATTCTCCTCTGCCCGGAAGTGAACTAACCAAAGAACCTTTTCGTTGGGATCAAAGGTTATTTGCCCTGGTGTTGCGTTTGCCTGGATTGGCTTCTACGGAACCAGAGCAACTAGGCAGTGTACCGACTGATGAGTCCGCCATCACTCAGATGTGTGAAGTCACAGGAGGTATTGGCAATGTACCTCGTAAGCGCCATATTCTGTCTTGTCCTGCTTTCCTCCCGAATCTTATAGCTCTGCTGCTGCTTCTCGCCATGAGTGTGAGGTTTGCTGCCAATGTAGTTACGATCCGTTCGAGATGTATTTTAGGATTTCAAATGCTTATATTGTTAAGTCGCATTTTATTTGATCAAACTCACACTGTTTGTTCTTCCTTCTGGTACAGGTCGCTCCTACTGTGTTAGAACACAAAGGATGTTGAATCAGTGTTTAGAATCTCTAGTTCAGAAAATTCAGAGCGGTGTAGTTATTAACTTTGAAAAAACGGGACCAGATCCACTTCCTGTTGGAGAAGGTACAGTAGATGGCTTTTTTTCCTTTTACCCTGGAGAATGATCGGAGATGGGGAAGACATTAAACGCATAATAGACATGGGCTTTACTGCCTACACCCATTCATGGGGTTACACACATCCGTCCAAACAGCTGCCATTCATTCGTTGCCTGGGTGGTCAGATTCTAACAACTTTAATTCAGTGTCAAATCCTCTTACGAAAATTCTTCCTTTTCCCTACCCTTTTCATATCCCCTGGTCCTAGTCTGGCGATACACTGCATTGTTCACCTCTCAATTCACGAAATATCTAGAGAATCACTTCGGAGTGCCACTTAACCAGTAACCTGGTTTTGGTCTTGTGAGCCCCAAATGTGCCAAGCAATCTTTAGGAAATACGTGTTTGTCACTGCATGTCAGCAAGAGATTGTGAATATTTGTCCAGAAACTGCTTAATGTCCTATAAGATCCTACACCGGGATTTTCCCGCCCGCTTTTTAACTGCTGAAACTTTTCTCTTCAAGTGACATTTTACAGAAAGTTCAACATCGCAAAATAGTTGAGCGCAGAAGTACTGTTGTATAGGGGAAGGGTCTTCTCCCTCACGTCATCCCCGCGCTGCAAGGCTCCCTGGGAGCACGCTGCAAGGCCGCTTCTCCTCGTTCCTGGGCGCTCACACACATCATTACCCATGGTGCTTGTCTCACCTGATCCATACATTGGCATTGCGTGGCCACAATCAGTGGGGGCTGCTCAGAAAGACAAGTGCTCCTGTCTGAAGCCATGGATCCTGTGGTTCCTGACCTTTTTGATGTTTAGTCCCCAGAACCCTTTAAGAAGCTGTTGGAAATGTAAAGACCGCTCTCCTTAGAATAATGGACATAGGCCACACAAATACAATTTGGTATTTAATTCTAGGGTTTCTTGGACGCCACTTTAAGAACACCCACCACGGAAGACTGAGGACTCACAGCCTATTTGAAATTCATTAAATTGATTGAGGAAGGACACGTTTTCTTGCTAATGATTGACGGTTCCATCCATACTTCTGTGTTCATTATCTTAATGTGAACTGGGAACAGTCCTGTGGAAAGCCTATTGGATTTGGTGTCCTGTAAATAGCTCAGATTTTCTTTCTAGCTCCATTTCCCCTTTGTCCAGGGTTCTTAGCCTTTGAGATTCTGAAGAAAGCTAAGAACTCTCTCCTCAGAAAGATGCACATCCCCAGAATTGTGAGCTCAACTTCAGGGGGGTCTCTTGGTCCCCTGAAGCCATTACATGTATTCCCTAGAGATCCATGGACCCTAGTAAATCTCCTGGCGTAAAGTAATTACTTGTTTAAAGTGACACTTAAATAAGTAAATCAAATGACCTGTAATTTAAGAAATGTGACTCAAATCATTAAAACGTCTCTTTTACAAATATAGACTATTGAATCATTGCATTAAAGGTTATATAACTCTGCCTTGCCCTCTTTTGGTGGACAAATGAAATATGCTAGTTTAAACAATTCAAATACATTTGGGATACATCCTTCAGCATTATACAATGCCCAGCTTCCATGGAATTTTAATGGTGGCTGGGGAAACTATCATGAATTTGTCCATAATAAACTCGATGCATTTGCTTTATGTTCCCTCCCCCAACTATATATGTAGATTGTATTGTCAACATTCCTTCTATTCTTTGAGTGCATCTGGATTGTTTTTATTTTGCCTTTGTGGTCATTGGGTCTGTTTAGTAAAGAATACTTTTTCTCCCCCCATCTAACTGGGAATAGAAAGAAAATCTAAATGGAATGTATGACCTACTTTGTCAGATCCCAAAAATGTAAAAACTGTACCAAGGGATGAGCAATTTCATTTACCTAATTTGAAAAAATAACTCTAGTGCTTTGGTGGGGGTAATTTATGTGTCCAAATTCAGAAAATTGAAAACTAATTTTATAATAGTTTTCCGTATAACTAGGTGTTCGGGGCATGGTTAAGGATGGGGGTGGGGTGTTGGATTAGAGGGATGGATTAGATGAAAAGTGCTAGAGAGAACATTCAGAAATCCTGATAGAGTCTTTGATTTCTCTCATTTTTTTCACAAAGTACCGTTTTGGCTTGTTTTGTACTTTGCCTGGAGCTGAAAATTTTGTGCAAGAAGATCAGCAGCTGTAAAAAGAAATTGATGCCTTAGTATCTGTCTTTGTTTACCTTTTAGATGGACTTATGGATTCATCCAGGCCAAGCAATTCATTTGCTGCTCAACCATGGCATAGTTGTCATAAGCTCATCTATGTACGACCTAACTCTAAGACTGGTGTTCCTGTTGGACATTGGCCAATTCCAGAATCTTTCTGGCCAGATCAGAATTTACCTTCACTAGTAAGTGTCATAAAACAGAAAGGTAAACATCATTCCGGATTTTCAGTTTGCTGATTACAGTGACCCTTGTAAAATGGCTTTGAGGCTCTTTTTTTTTTTTTTTTTAAAGATTTTCTTTATTTATTTATTAGAGAGAGAGAAACAGCATGAGAGGGGAGAGAAGGAGAGAGAGGGAGAAGCAGGCTCCCCGCTGAGCCAGGAGCCCGATGTGGGACTCGATCCCAGGCTTTTAAGCTATACCTTTTCTCTCTGGCTGGAAGTCTAAGCTTGTACCTAAAAACAAGAGAGGACTTCCTTGGTCTTCTGGCATTCTTTCTTTTAGTTGCCTTTTGCCACTTGAACTGCCCACTTTGGATGTTAAAGCGTTGTTATTTTTGATGGCGTCGCAATCTGTGGCTTGGTTTTTATTTCCCAGCGGCTGACTTGATTGACATGGGAAACGCCACGTCCAAAGAGCACGGGCATTGTTTTTCGTGTACATCCTCAGGAAATGAAAACTTAGCTTGCACCTTGCCTAGGTTCTAGAAACACAGAAGCTCTTCTACTTCCTCCTGGGGAGTCGTTAGGCACCTAGTGGAACTTTGTGGACCTGCTTTTCATCTTTTTGTAATCCATGGACTTGCGTTCCTTGCAGTGTACCTTTCGGTGATGGATAATTAAGCAGTATTTGAAAAATGATCTCTAAGCGAGGACTTTTCTTTTTGTTCACTGCATTTGGGAGAAGAGGGTTTGATATTGTAGTTGTTCCTAGTACCAGATGAATTGGCTTTTTTGGGGGGAGAGGGGTGTCTACTAATGAGGGAAAGCATGTGGAGCCCACTCTCCCTTCATCTTCCTCCCCCAAGCCTCTGCACAAAGGCCAGAGTGAGCCTTCTGCTGTGGGGGGAGGGGCACAAAACGATCACTACGCCTTCAGTTCAGCACCTTCCTGGTTCAGCCAATCTACATCCTGTGTGCATTTTAGAAATTTCTGACATGAACTGTATTTTCTTCTGGATTACTCTTTCTAGGCTCCTTTTCCCAGGAGATGCCATGAGAATATAGGACTGAAGAGCCACTTCCGCCCCTGCTGTGGGGGAGGGTATATCTCCTCCGCCTTCCCTCAGGGCTCCAAGGTGACACACTGGGCAGATCTCAGTGCCCAGTCGCTCTTAGCTCCAGACCCCAGAGTGAATGTTTTAGTTACGGATTTATGTCATTATTGCTAGTGACAGGGCTTCACTTGTGTCTTTATGGCTTTTTAAAAATCAGTTTAAATCAAAGAAGCCAGAAGTATTTCTCAGGTTTAATTAAAATGAAAATCAGGAGGGGTGCCTGGATGGCCCAGTCAATTAAGCGACTGACTCTTGATTTCAGCTCAGGTCGTGATCTCAGGATCGTGGGATCGAGCCCCGTGTGGGGCTCCACACTCAGCGCAGAGTCTGCTAGTCCCTCTCCGTCTGCCCCTCCCCCCATGCTTGCACGCCCTCTCTCCCTCTCTCTCTCTTTCTCAAATAAGTAAAAATATTTAAAAAAATGAAAATCAGGAAAAACTGGGATGAAAGAAATTCCAGCTAACCCACACATCACCCCTGTTACCATCCCCCCAGCTTTAAAAGCACATTTGATGGCTGTTTCCCTCAGCTCCTCAAACATCTTGTAGGTGTGTAAATCACAAAGGCAAAGGAGTATGTTTTTCCCCTTTATAAGGGAAACGGAGATGTTTTGTCATATTCCTATTAGCCTGAGAGATCTCTCGGCAAGAAGAGGGGGCATCACGTCTCACCCTTGTCCCGGGGATTTGTCCTATCTCCTCATCTCTTCATCTCTACCAGTCCGCTCTGGTACCTTTGCAGCCCGCCCAAAGCATCCTCGGCTCTAACTGGTCTGAGACAAGCTTGTGGGGGTGAGAAATTTCCACTGGTCCTGGGTGTTGTAACTGGCTCATTTTTGGTACTTGCCTTGCCCTTTCCATGGCTTTACAGTTTTTCTGCTTGCTTGTTAGTAGCTCTAGCCCTGTCATTAGCTCCTTTGACAGCTTCATGGATTTCTTCTTCGCTAGCAGCATCTGGACTATCTGTAATCTCATGGTACAAAGGAATGAAGGGCAGGTCATGCTTGGAGGTTGCAAAGTGGATCTGAAAATCGGGGTTCATTCTATAGATCATTAGTGACTTCCTAACCGTATTCAAAGCACTTGTCATCTTTACTTCACTGAAACTGTAGTTATGAGTGTTCTAATTCACCTTTCCTCCTCCCAATGCCAAGTAGATGGTAGAGCTAAAGAATCCCTGTGCCCTCCCCAGATGGACGCTGTTGGCGATGCCCTCTTTTTCAAAGCACTGCTCTATATCTCAGCGATGGTTTCACAAAAGACGGAAGGGGTTGCGGATTTGTCAGAAATGTAAGCTCGCTTTGATAACGGACCGTATCTTCCCCTCTTGTCTTTTAGCCTCCACGAACATCTCATCCTGTTGTGAGGTTCTCCTGCGTAGATTGTGAGCCAATGGTAATAGACAAACTTCCTTTTGACAAATATGAACTTGAACCTTCACCCTTAACTCAGTACATCCTGGAACGAAAGTCTCCCCATACCTGCTGGCAGGTACTTACCCTTACCTGTTGGCCAAATGTCTGTAACCACTCTGGGAGCTGGGAATTCTTTTAAGAAGTTTCAAAGGTGGCTTCTGCAGCTGAGGCTTCGTGTGAACTTGACAGATTGGAAGTACAAGATCAAATTTTTTTTTTAACGTTTTTCTTTAAATTCCAGGTAGTTAACGGTACAGTGTATAATATTAGTTTCAGGTGTACAAGATATTTTTGACACAAAAAAACCCCCATAAGCCCTGAGACTACTTTTGTGTTTCTGTCATGTAGTCAGACTTCTCTTCCTGTACAAAGCACATCGGTGTGTGTAACATGGATTTTACTCGGATGCGGCAAATGCATGTGTTACCGGCTCTTCCAAACATTATACTTCAGGCGGAAGGGCTTGCTGATTTATTAATAGACTCACCTTTGGATATTAGTTTGTAAAAATCCAGACATGGCAGTCACACAGCCCTTTTATTGGGATATAATAAGGAAGTCCTACGCTGGAAGTGTGTTTGTTCTATTTCTAAACGCCGGCACCATATAGCAATCAGTAATTGTTAGCTTCTATTTACGCAAGAAACACTTTTAGACTGCCATCTGTTTCATCCTAAAATGTGAGATTATTGCTACTAGTTGTCTTTAAGCTACTTAAATTCTCCGAAGATGCTAAAACTGGGTAGGAGAAAAGAAACACACTTGAAGCAAGAATGTAAAAGTGTAAGAAACAGAACAATCTCATAAATATAATACTGAGCGGAAGATGCCAGCCATCAAAGATCCCATATCCTGTGATTCTATTTTATCTACACTCGAAAAGAGGCAAAGCGGGCTGACTCTGTCAGAAGTCGGGTTGGTAGTTTCTCTTGGGGGTGCAGAGCAGTGACCAGCAAGGGACATGAAGGGGTTTCTTTCTGGTTGTGTTCTATTTCTTGATTTGGGTGCTGATGACACAATGCCCCGGAAATGTGCTAGGAATGTAGAGATACGGATGACAGAATGTTAACTCAAAACCACGATAGGAGGTTGACTTCACGGATTGACACAAATTTTGCAACACAAGCAAATACAATTACAAATCATATCTTTTCCCTAAAAAGAAGCCCTCTTTTCTGTATAGCACATTTCTTGTAAAGCTTCTCCAGAGGCACATAAGACATCCTGCCCTTGCTTCCTGCACCACCCCTCAAATAGGCCATATGCCTATCTCCTGTACCTTATGTGACTTTGGTTTAATTTGAAGGCAAGGAATTAGTGGGAGTGAAAAGGAATAAGATGAACCAGGAGCCAGGAAATTTGGCTAAATCACGATGGAGCCTGGATTCCAACCCTACGCCTGCCACCAGTAATGTGGTCCTGGGCCAGACACTTACTTTCTCTAGACGAGATGGTCTCTGATGATCCCTTTGAATCCCCCTCCCCCCATTCTATGAATCTGCAGGTGATAAGGAATTTGGAAAAACTCAGGGGGCTTATGAGAGGGAAGGGAGGGAGGGAGGGAAGAAAGAGAGAAAGGGAGAGAGGAACAAAAAACAGTGTTTCACCTCTCATGGGCCTCCTAGGCCTGACCCCCGATGGCTGTGTGTAACGTTTTTAATCCTTTATGATGATTTCCCCCCTCTTCTGTTCTACATACTTAGGAAATAGGGGGAAATCCACCATGTGTTACTACACTTCTTTGTTTCTATTAAGGTTCAAATTATGACATGAAATCTAGTAGATGAGTCCTGTTTTATAGCACCAGCACGACTCATTGTTTTGTGGGGTCACAAAAGACACAGGAAAGATTTATTCTTAGCTACGACTAAATATAGCAAGAATTTAGTCAACTGGTAGGTGATATGGCCGGTACCAGGAATTAGCATGGTGAATGGATTCTGTTCACCATCACGGTTTGACTTTTGCCTTCAATGATCCTGCTGAAGGACTTCGGGAAAGGCAAAGGTCTAGGTCCCTAAAAGTATATACCGGTGCCCTAACTTGGGCCAAAGAGGAAACAGGGAACAGAGAGGAAAAAATGGTACCCAGAGGACATCAGCCCAGCATATCGAGTGTACGGGACCTGACCGTATAATCAGGAATCATCAGCGAGGAATAAGATGGTAGTCACATGGAATAAAGATTAATGTTTTGATCGTTACTGAATGTTTGCTCTACCAGCATCATTTAGAAGAGAAAATGCCTTCCAGATTGAACCAAAGCATCTCCTTGCTGCCTCCAAATAATTAGCGCCGGTGTCCAGCTCATAATAGGCCACTCGATAAATATTTACCCGATGAAAAATGCTCCGTTTTTCTCAAGTCCCCACTCTGGTCCCCACTTGTTCTTTTGAGAAGTCCGTTTGTTTTCATGGCTGGTATCACTTAGTGGTATTTCAGCCTCGTTTGCCATTGTGCTAACCAAGTAAATATTTGGGTATTGTTGAGGTAGCCCGTGGTCTCCGAATGGTGACCGCATAGTCCGGTTTCAGTTCTTAATATAATGTATAAAGAATCGCAATCAGAACGTTCTTATTTAGTATGGCCTATTTGGACATGACCCCAGGCTAAAAGCGCTATTGCCATTTTTACATTATAGTTACGCTGTGCCTTAGATGTCATTCTGGAATGTTGCTGGGAGTTTGGTTTCACATAAAATCCTCATTGTCATAACTGTGTCTGATCTCATGTTCTTAGGTATTTGTTACTAGCAGTGGAAAATACAATGAACTTGGCTATCCATTTGGTTATTTAAAAGCCAGTACGACTTTAACTTGTGTAAACCTCTTTGTGATGCCGTACAACTACCCGGTTTTACTCCCTCTTTTAGGTAAGTAAAGTATATGCCACTTCATCGTCTTTAAAACGCAACAGAAATGAAAAATAGGAGAACGGCTAAGCGTTTTAAATGTAGTCAAAGAATAATTGATATCGGGATATAGAAAAGGCTAAACACCGGTTTGGAAGGATAGAATTTGCACACTGTTTTCTGTTCTGTTCGTTTTGTTACTTCGGTTTTGTTTTGTTTTGTTTTTGTTTTTGTTTTTTTGCATCAGACCGAAGAGACACTTAGCCTCTGGTGTGGCTCCTGTCACATTTTAGGCTGCGAGCACCAGTGCTGACGTTCCCCGCCGCGCCCCCCAGCCCCCTGCCCCCCGTTTCAAGTGACTTGGCTTTTCCATTGACTAATTTGGGACCAAAAATTCCATTGATTGGGGTTAATGCTCCAAGAATCTGATGGTTTTCTCCAGAAAATAGGGCTTCTGTGCGGGATATTGGCTCCCACTCGTTCCCCCATAAAAGCATCTTAAATGTTCCGGAGGCATCTGTGTTATAGGCAAGTTAAGGAACTAGGTACGAGCGTCAATTCTGCAATCACTGTAGTCGGAGAAGCTGTCGTTTCCATGGTAAAATTCTACAAGGAGCGACTCCAGAAGCTGCTACCGAGATACCACTGAAAATGTGTGTAGAGATTTTTTTTTTTCTCATTGAAAGAGCCGCATCTGTTTGGAGCAATATAGTCTTACCATGTGGTAGGTATCCTTCTAGTTGTAAAGTTGGGATCATTTTTATTCGATGGGGTTTCTTAATTTTTGCAAAAAGTTTCAACCTTTGAGTTTTCATGTAGTCATTAAAAGCGTAAGATTTTTAGTGCTATAAGTAGTGTTTGTACTACATGTCCTGAAAAAAACAATTCTTTCAAATGTTGCAAGTTAAGCAGGTTAAGAATGGCTCATTATAAATGGATTAGCATGATTATTTTGTATATAGTCTACCGACTTTCTTAGTCCACTCTAAAAATGTCCTCTCAAAGGTGATTGTCATTGATACAAAATATAGGTTATGTCTTTGAGATTAATAAGGGTACCAATAGAAAGTACCTATATTTTGTGGATTTGTTTAAATTATTTGTAAGTTCAAATAGATTTATTAGTTAATGATTTCTTTTTTTTTTTTTTTTTTTTTTTTTATTTATTTGAGACAGAGAGAATGAGAGACAGAGAGCATGAGAGGGAGGAGGGTCCGAGGGAGAAGCAGACTCCCCGCCGAGCAGGGAGCCCGATGCGGGACTCGATCCCGGGACTCCAGGATCATGACCTGAGCCGAAGGCAGTCGCTTAACCAACTGAGCCACCCAGGCGCCCTAGTTAATGATTTCTTAAAAAATGTTTTTACATGGGGGTAGCTGACACACAATGTTACATTAGTTTCAGGTGTACAACATAGTGATTGGACAAGTCTATACCTTATGCTGTGCTCCCCTCAAGGGTGTCTGCCCTCTGTCCCCATACAGCACTGTTACAATACCATTCTCGACGTTCCCTATGCTGTGCCTTTCAGCCCCGTGACTTCCTCATTCCATAACTGGAAGCCTGCACCTCCCACCCCCCTTCACCCATTTTGCCCATCCTCCACCCCCCTCCCCTCTGGCAGCCATCAGCTTGTTCTCTGGATTTATAGGTCTGATTCTGCTTTTTGTTTATTCATTTGTTTTGTGTTTTTAGATTCCACATATGAGTGAAATCATACGGTTTTTCTGTTTCTCGGTCCGACCTATTTCACTTATTTTCACCTATTTCTCACCCTTTGTGACTTCAGTTCTCCCAGCTATAAAGTGAAAGATTAGATAATCTCCACTTTGACTGTTAATGGTATTATTTTTCTATTTTTTAAGATGACGTTTTATTTTCAGATAACTGTAGATTTCGCATGCAGTCGTAAGGAATGACGCTGGTGCAGCCACTGGGGAAGACAGTATAGAGATTCCTCAAAAAGTTAAAAATAGAAAAAAAAAAGTTAAAAATAGAATGGCCCTATGATCCAGTAATTGCACTACTGGATATTTACCCAAAGACTACAAGAACGCTAATTCAGAGGGATCCGTGCACCCCTATGTTTCTGGCAGCATTATTTACAATGGCCAAGATCTGGAAGCAGCCCAAGTGGCCATCGATAGGTGAATGGATAAAGAAGAGGTGGTATGTGTACACAATGGGATATTACTCAGCCATCAAAAATGAAACCTTGCCCTTTGCAACTACATGGATAGACCTAGAGAGTATAAGGCTAAGCGAAATAAGCCAGAGAAAGGCAAATACCATATGATTTCACACCTATGTGGAATTTAAGAAACAAAACAAATGAGCAAAAGGAAAAAAAGACAGAGAGGCAAACCAAGAAACAGACTCTTAACCATAGAGAACACACTGCTGGTCACCAGAAGGGAGGAGCAGGGACATGGGGGAAAGAGGGGATGGGCACTAAGGAGTCCACTTGTGATGAACACCGGGTGTGTATGCAAGTGTTGAATCACTACATTCTATACCTGAAACGAATATAACACTGTATGTTCACTAACTGGAATTAAAATAAAAACTGGAAATTAAAAAAAAAAGAAATAGGGGCGCCTGGGTGGCTCAGTCGTTAGGCGTCTGCCTTCGGCTCAGGTCATGATCCCAGGATCCTGGGATCGAGCCCCGCATCGGGCTCCCTGCTCCGCGGGAAGCCTGCTTCTCCCTCTCCCACTCCCCCTGCTTGTGTTCCCTCTCTTGCTGTCTCTCTCTGTCAATTAAATAAATAAATAAAATCATCAAACTTAAAAGCTTTTGTGCAGCAAAGGCCATAATTAGCAGAGTGAAAAGGCAAGCTACGGAACGGGGAAAGATTTTCAAATCTTAGACCTGGTCATTTTCGCGGGTGTGTGTGTGTCTGTTTTCTGTTATTCAGACTGGGTGATTTCTCCTGTTCTCTTTTCCAGTTTACTGATTATTTCCTCTGTCCCCTCCGTTGTGCTTTTGAGCCCATCCGTTGAGCTTTTTATTTTGGTTATTGTATTTCTCAGTTCTGAGATTTCCATTGGGTTCTTCTTTATATCTTCTGCTTTTTCCTTTCTCTTTCTTTGATGAGGCTTTCTGTTTTCTCATTTGTGTCACACCAGTTTATAATTGCTTGTTGAAACCTTTTGTATGCTGGCTCCTTTTACATCTTTATTGGATATTTTTAATGTCTCGGTCATTTTGGTGTTGGCATCTCTTGATGGTCTTTTGAATGTGTCGTGAGATCTTCCTCGTTCTTGGTACGTTGAGGGATTTTCAGTTGACTCCTGTGCCTTTTCAGCATTATGTTAGGAGTCTCGATCTTATTTAAGCCTTCTGGTTCAGCTTCCTCTCTCACTCCTGGCAGAGTTTGCAGGGTACTGCCTTGTTAGTGCCGGGAGGGGGTAGAAGTCCAGGTTCCCCACTTGGCCTCTGTTGACACTCAAAGGGAGGGGCTCCTCGTTACTGCTGTGGGGGTGGGGTGGGGGTTCTGGATCCTCACTAGAATGATACCTCCCTGGCTGGGAGAAGTAGGAGTTCCTCACTACTCCTCCCCATGTGGTCTCCATTGACACCGCAGGGGTTGAGGTGACCTTATTACTGCAGGGCTTATTATGTGAAAGTGCCCCTAACCAGGGTAGCTGCTCTCCCAGTAGAAATTGAGATGCACAGCTCTTCACAATAGCGAGACCCGCCCTTTAAGCCTGGGCTTTTGGTCTTGCGGGTAATAGAAGTCAGATGTGGACATGTCATAAAGGTTAAGAGGAAGCATCCAGGCCTTCCTTTTTGCACCTGCTGTGCCTAAGTAGCCACGTGATGCCCACTCTCACACTCCCCAGTACTAGGTAAGGTCAACTCCCAGCACTGTCTGCTTGGTCACCCGTCAGTCTGCCTCTTCCCCAAATGCCAAGTTCCCCTTCTCCCTGCAATGGCTTCTGTCACAAGAGGTACATGTGCCACATCTGTCCCTGGTCCTCCTTAACCTCTGACACCAAGGATCCAACCCTGCCTAGAGCATCAACATCCCTCTGCAAACATCCCAAGCCAGAAACCCATTGGCATCTTTGATCCCTCCCCCTTCCCCCATGCCAGGCATCCATCTGAGGGTCAGTCTGTCCTTGACTCAGTTCCCATTCTGCCCTTTGCCTTTAAATATCCATTTCCAGGCTTTTCTGTAAGCTGTGTCTTCCCAGGGAGCACAGGAGTTTTCACACCCTTAGAGGCTGGAGGTCCTTGTGCCCCCGAATCCCAAACTTAGGTTTTGTGTTGAGTTCTGAAATAGACACTTTCAACATTTCCACCATTACTTCGCTTTCTGGGTTGTGTAGCCCCATAGTGTTAAGAGTATGCACTGTAGAGCGGCGCCTGGGTGGCTCTGTCAGTTAAGTGTCCAACTCATGATTTCAGCTCAGGTCATGATCTCGGCTCAGGTCATGATCTCAGGGTCATGGGATCGAGCCCCGTGTCAGGCTCCTCGCTCAGTGGGGAATCTGCTTGTGATTCTCTCTCTCCCACTCTCCCTCTGTCCCTTTCCCCTCTCTCAAATAAATAAACAAATAAATCTTAAAAAAAGAAGAGTATGGACTGTAGAGCGTAGCTGCCCTCATATGGATCCTGGCTCTGCCGTTTGCTAGCTTTTTGACCTTGGATAAGGTATATAGCTTCTCTGTGCCTTACTTACTTCATCTGTAAAATGGGCGTAATGATAGTACGTATCCCAAAGGCATTTAGTTGGGATTAAATGAATTAATGCAGTTAAATTGCAAATAGTAACTGCTCAATAATGTTATTAGCATTATCATTACTATTGTCATATTGATATCTATGTTATTTTCATAGCTCTTGAAGGCACTGCTATTCCATATGAAGGACATTATATAAAGATAGAGGACAGTTTTGCAATTTGTTGGGCAGAGCATTTAGTAAAAAGGCAAGTTAAGTCACATACACTTCCTAATGCCCAGAAACATCACTGTATTACTGCATAATATGATAACTGTCCATAAAGGTCACCCTTGTTTTTTTTTCTTTATTGATTCAAGATTTCCGTCAAAAGTAGTTAACAGAAGCTTAATTATTTAAGCACTAAAACTTACCTGGAATGGATAAGTGAGGCTTAATTGGATCAATGAGTCATCATGAGAATCATGTCGGTAGGGTGGTAACCAGAATATCACAGTTGGCAAGAAGATTATCTCTCAATAAGGAGATCTTTTTTTCTATCGAGGGCCAGTAACTACAGAAATTAAGACATCTGTAGCAACTTTTTTCCCTCAGCTATACCACATTCAGTTCGCCCGTTTTTTTTTTTTTAAGATTTTATTTATTTATTTGAGAGAGAGAATGAGACAGAGAGAGAGCATGAGATGGGGGAGGATCAGAGGGAGAAGCAGACTCCCCGCTGAGCAGGGAGCCCGATGCGGGACTCGATCCCGGGACTCCAGGATCATGGCCTGAGCCGAAGGCAGTCGCTTAACCAACTGAGCCACCCAGGCGCCCCCGCCCGTTTTTTTTAAGAGTATTTATTTATTTATTTTAGAGAGACAGAGAGAGTGTGGGGGGAGGGGCAGAGGGAGCGAGAAATCCAAGCAGACTCCCCACTGAGTACAGAGCCCCACACGGGGCTCGATCTCACGACCCTGAGATCACAACCTGAGCCAAAACCAAAAGTCAGATGCTCAACTGACTGCGCCACCCAGGTGCCTGCCCCGTTTGTTTGTTTTTTTAATTAAGAACTGAGATTTGTGTAAAAAATAAAATTCAGCTCCATATTAAGACCAGTGTTCCAATCAGGAGAACAAAAAGAAACGGAGGCACAAGAAGGCGAAGTGGTTTCTCAAAGCTCACTCTGCTAAGTGTGTGGCTGAGCCTGGAACTGAGTGGTTTCTCAAAGCTCACTCTGCTAAGTGTGTGGCTGAGCCACCTCTTCCCCCCCCCCCTTTTTTTGCAGCAGGAAATGGGGAGAAATGAATGGAAGGGAAAATGTTAGTAGTTTTTGAGGTGTGGGTAATATCACTTTACTCTCCTACACTCTGATCTCTTTGTCTTTCAAACGTTGACTAGCTGAGTGTTTATGACATCTTCACTGTCCTGTCCTAATACAACCTAACGCCATGGAAATCATTTCCTGCCCTGCGGAGAATGTGACTCAAGCAGCCTTACCCCAGTAGCTCTCTACCCTTAATCTAGACTGTGGAACATTCTCTTTCTTCCTCCCCCGTTTCAAAAACTCCGACAAGAAATAATTAGACTAAATTAGACTAATTGGTGGAATCATTGCAATCGGCATTGTTTGAAATTCTAAGACTATTCTTGACTCTCATTATCTAATCTATTTATATCTAAATGTCTCCCCAGTCTTGTGGTATTTCAATTTGTCAGTTTCCAAAAATCTGCTTAATTCCCAACAGACTCCTTATAAAGACCCAAGTATAACAGCATCTTTCCACCGTCTCTCGTTCCTTTCTGTCAAGATATGAATGGTCTTTAAAGGACCTGCATGTTACAATGAGCCAGAAATCTCTTCAGATCTGTTTTTCTTTGTTCTTTCTACCCTGCACCAAAAGAACAGAAGACCCACATTTTATGACTTTGTAAATTCATTTAAATTAGTTTCGGCAGGGGTGAATAATTTATTATAGCAGTAAAAGGAAGAAAATGCGTAGTTGCTTTTCTTAACTAAAGTAATTCAGCATTTCAAAGAATAGGCCTATTTGTAGAGAAATCATGCATATGGCATAGGGATGCTTTTGTCCTTGGAAGTAAAGCATTTGGATTTTTTTGGATAAGAGCCAATGAAACCTGAAGAAACAAAATAGAAGATGAATTTAAAATATCTCTTTGGCATTTGTATTAAGTGCGGCAGGTTCCCGTTGATGTCTGGCGATACCAATTTTGAATTAATATATAAAAAATATTTTTTCATACCCTCAGAAGGAAATAATGACATGGTTTGGCAATTTTCCTGTAGTGTCTATATGCATTTAGATTATGAAAACAATTAAATTTAAGTTTGAAAAAGGTAGAGGGGATGTCCGCTTATTTAAGGACAGTATCTTTAGGGGTATTAACGCACATGGTATTCAAGAAACACATTTAGTTGTACAGAGTTTCGAACTCCAACCTAACATCTCCACTAGCTTGTGCTAGTGCCATGACCTAATTGTTAGCTAATATTTGACAGACCCAACGTTTGGCTCGAAATGCCTGACCACTGAAATGGAAGAAATGAAGGAGGGCGGGGAATAGGACTATACAAAGTATAGGCTGATGAAGGCGAATCCAAAGCATAATTTAGAGCTCGCTGTCATTGCCTGGAAGTTAGAGGCTTTGCTTTTGTAAAGTCTCTTTACAACACCCTCCGTTTATTTATTTATTAATTATTGACATATAATTGACACATAATGTTAGTTTCCCGTGCGCAATGTTAATGAGTCAGTCTTTGTACATACTGTGAAAAGAACACTGCGGACACTAGTTCACATCCATCACAACGCGTGATCACAAATTTCTTGCGATGAGAAATTTTAAGATCTACCGTCTTAGCAGCTTGCAAATACGCAATACAGTATCATTAACTAGAGTCACCATGCTGTACATGATATCCCCCAGGACTTACTTATTTTGTAACTGGAAGTTTGTGCCATTTGATCACTTTCAGCCATTTCGCCTACTCCCTACACCCCCACCCCGCCTCTGGCTGCCACTGATCTGTTCTCTGTCTCTGTGATTCCGGGGTTTTGTCCTTGTTGTTGCTTTAACACCCTCCATTCGAATAAAAAAATATTCCGTCAACCAGTGACCATGGATTCCCCCTCAGGTGAAAATTAGTACAGTCATGTTACCAATATGTAACGGGTCAGAAAGATATTTCACGTGTGGATCGGAGTCAGGGCTTAAATATTACATTTTACGTAGCTTCACAGATGGCAGAGGAATATCTAACCTGAGAATTTTTTTTTCTAGAAAAACACTCCATATAATTTTGGTAAATAGTACCAAACAAGACAATCAGATCAATGAGAGGTTCATCTAATGTAATTAAAAGTTGAGATGTCTAGGAAACGATATAGCAGATGCAGGTTGCTTGATTTAGCTCTTGGAATTTAGGACTGGAATCACGTCATACTTTGTTTGGTTTTTCTCTTACAGATGACTTGTTTAAAGTTCACAAGCTTAAGCCAAATCTGAAGTGGCGACAGGCTTTTGACAGCTACTTAAAAACTCTGCCTCCGTACTACTTATTAGTATGTATTTATGTGTATATATGCATTAGCTGTATCAATGATGATTCTTGTCACCAGAAATGTCAGTGAACCAAACACTGGACCCTTGAAATAAGCTCGATATTTTTATTGCTAAATATTTGTGTCACCACTGTCTTCTCAAATTATGTGGAAGAAAATTGTTTCTTTATTTTATTGCCTTTAACTGCCATGGTTATTCTTTAAAACAACACGTCTATCTCTGTTTCTCTTATTAAAGTAACCTTATGAAAGTGGGATTTGGGGATTTAAGAAAAATAGGTCTGGACTCATGTATGATGCCAACTTCCCTTTTTAACTCTAGAAATTTTCAATATGGGGTTTCCCTCTGAAAAACAACTCTGAAGGCCATATATTGACGTACTGCCTGGTAAATGTGTCCGAGACACAGCACGAAGCAGGGGCACTGGTTGGGGGAGGGGAATCCAAAAAGAACAAAAAGCTACTTGGCCTCGTTTGGGTTTCTACAATTTGGGGAAAAACAGTCATGATGATTTTGAACTGGTCGTATAATCGAAATCAAGATGATCAAAATCATTTCAGAGGCAGATGTGGCAAACTTTTGGCCAAGTTTCTAGAGGTGAAAAGGCAGAATCTTAAAGGGTACCAGTGGTGTCACTGGGAGGAGAAATTGGGGTGTGTTAGTATTTACCATGGCAGGAACGGGGTGCACGATAAAATGCAATATGAAATGATTTTATGATTTGGGAATTAAGCCTGAAAGCAATTTACCTGTTTGAATTTGCTGTTTCTTGCTCTTCTTCTCCCACTCTCTTCTGATTTTGTTACTTTCTGCTCCTTACTCCTCTGCTATATTCATTGCCACTTTTTAATGTTCCATGTTTGGTTTTATGTGCAGCACCTTGACTTCTAAGAAATGAATCATGTCCCTTTGCCCCTTATAACTGAACTTTGAGTATTTTAAGATTTATTCTATTCTTACTGTTGTGTATTTTGTTTCCTTATAGCCATTAAAGAAAGCACTAAGGATGATGGGAGCTCCAAATCTGATATCAGATAATTTAGATTGTGGACTTAGTTACAGTGTTATCTCTTACCTTAAAAAACTCAGCCAACAGGTAGTATTGGTAAAAACAAACAAACAAAAATCCTTTGCCCTCAGAAGTGCATTTCCTTATTCTTTAGTGTAATTGTAATTTTTCAAATTAAATGTGTATCTATTTCTCCACTTTATGGATTAGTAATAATGTGATTCTCTATGGCTTCTAGTTTCACCACTAAACTGCAGTTAAGGGTCTGTCAGTGTCATTGGATGCTGTGCCATTTCTCCTTTCGCTCGCCAGTTTGTGCTACCCACAAGCTGGTTGATATCTTGTGGCCTAAGAGGGGCAGAGGCTTAGTAAAATTATCTCATGGGTCACATTTTGTCTGTCCTCAACCTAGTTTCTCCTTAAGTCACGCTGGGCTAGAGCACCCCCCCCCTTTTTTTTAGGTCAGCACACGGAGGCATGGTGTGGTGGTTCAACGTCTTGCCTGACATTCGTGTTTAGGCAATAAATATCCAGATGCCTTTTCTTGGAGACGGGGAGATGAGACCAGTGTTCCTCATTGCTGGAGGGTGATAGGCCCCAAGGAGACCTGAAGAGTGGAGTTCAACCTCCTCTCTTCTTGCCCTCCATCTGTTCCTTTATACCCCCACCTCATTTACCATTATTCACCTTGTCCCTTGCCTGCCCCACTATTAGTACCTCATCCTCCACTCACCCCTACTTATCATACTTCTCACCTCTACCTAGCCCATTCTTGCAGGATGGAAATATTTGAGAGCTACTGAGTTAGAGCTTTACTGCCATACAAATGTGTTATGTTATATGACCAATTGATGCAGCCTTTTTACTTTCTTCTTCTGCACAAGGGTATTCCCAGGTAGGGAGCAGTACTAGCATTTGCAGTGGCCGTCAGGCTTTAAGGCAGATATGTTTGGAAGTTGGGCCTGTAGGAGACAGATAGTAGTAAGCCAAAGAGTGTCAGATGTCACTAAAGAACCCAAATGACTCCACAGTTGGGGATGCTGACACACCTTGCGAGGACCTGGCACAGACAGAAGGATGGTCTGAGGCTTACCAGCTCCTACCTGGCCAGCATGCTCATAAATGCGAAAGAAAGGAAAGGCAAACCTAGATTTCTGGTCTACCGAGTGTCCCCACGACCCCCTTTCTTCTAATAGATTTTTGTTGTTGTTAATGTTTTGTTTTGGTTATTTATTGACTGATTGACCTGTTGATTTATATATATTTTTTATTTGATGTCTACCTTAGGCCTTTAAGGCTGTGTCAGCAGGGTGTGGCCACAAGGAAGAATAGAGAGCAGAGTTGAAACTCATGCAAGTTCTGGGACCTCTGGGACATGTTGTTTGTGTAGTTTTTCAAATGAGATTTCGGAACGATTTCTGGAAACAGGCCCTTCATTTGCTCTTCTCCCTTATTTCATGACTTAATTTTTTGGAAAAATAATAAACGTACTTAATTCCAATCATAGTGAGAATTAGCGAATATCTCCGACCTAATCATAAGAAACTCAAAATTCTTTTGGGCTTACGGGGCATTGGTGGGATTCCTTCTTTTAGAGAAAAAGAAAAGATTATTACCTATTTATAATCACTCCAATTACTAATTTAATTACTAATTTAATAGCTATGTCGCCAGTGTTCCTTGAACCATCTCAGATGTATGTAAATCACAAAATGTGCCCAGTACACTGTCAAGCAATATTTATCAATGTGGTTTAACAGTGTCTAGTAAGAGGATTTTTTTTGTAAGTTAGCTAGAAACTTACTGAATACACATTACATATTATTTATGTGGTAATGTTTGTTAAATTAAGCATTACTTTTTGGGGGGTGGTCCGATATTAGAAATAAACAATATAATTTTTTCCAGATGTGATGCCAATCTCTGTAATCCGAATTTTAGCACTAGTTTACGTTTGTAAATACAGAGTCTTAAACCTTTATGTCTGGGTCTGAAATAAATATGTTGACTTAGACTAGATTCTACAGCAACAAAATGTGATTTTAAATGTCTATGAATGGAAGTCTTAGCCACAGTTTCCATTCTCTCCATGATTCAATCATAATTTTGACACTAGACAAGAGGAAAAAAAAATGTAGTAAGTCATTTACCTTTCTAGGCCCCCTCCCTGTTTGCTATGCACAGGGAAATATTTAATTATCAGTTTTTCTATGATTTACGATTGAAAAATTCTTCTGTGGGGTTCTTAAAGTATTACCTTTCTTAAGTAGTGAAAACAACCGTGATAATGTAGATCTTTTCTTAACATACTATGTACTTTCATTTTAGACCAAACTAGAGTCAGAACGAATACTAGCATCCGTGGGGAAGAAACCTCCCCAGGAAATTGGAATCAAAGTGAAAAACCATTCTGGAGGTGGCGTGTCCATGACGCACAGTAAAAATTTTAGAAAACTATTGAAAGAAATCATAGGGGAAAGTGCACCAAGACTGACAGAATTGAATACCAAAGAATTTGCTGGCTTCCAGTTAGGGCTCTTAAACAAGGTAAACTGTGACATAAATCGTTCATGTTTGTTTGAACTCGTCAGAAACATTTATGTCATATTACTTTAATTTTGAAATGATTACGATCCTGTTTTGGACTTCATGGTTATCCATATGGACCAGTCTAGGAATTGTCTTGCCCACAGACGCCGATATGGAATTAAATGTACAAGATACGTTCGGCGGGGAGGGGTGGGTAATGTCTGGGAAGGATAAAGGGGCGAGAGGACAGGAGTAGACAGGGAGAGCCTTCAGGTCGTACTGCTCCCCTCGCACCTGTGAGAGGAGAGGACAAGGAAGAGGATCGGGTTTGAGGAGTCTCGGGCAACAGAGCATCTGTGAGAGAGTCTTGGCCAGCCCTGCTGGGACCCCTGGACCCACGATTTCCCAGAGAGGAGGTCCACGTTAGGCAGAATGGGCCGGGCCAGCTGACATACTTGGAAAAGGATATTCCCAGTGCTTTGAATATTTTGTGGGCGTACTGGAATTCAGAAAAAGGCCATCGAAGGCAAATTGGCCACCGGCCGATTTCTACTACAGTTAGTTATATTGACTGTCGTTCTCTTCACTAAGATTTTAAGAGAGTAAGAATGACACTTTCGATGTCAAAAGCCCCAGGAGTGACTGAAATTATTTCTTCCCTTTCGAATAGGATTTGAAACCTCAGACATATAGAAATGCTTATGATATTCCACGTAGAGGTCTTTTAGACCAGTTAACCAGAATGAGATCCAATTTGCTGAAGACACACAAGTTTATCGTGGGACAAGATGAAGGTAAATGAACAAAGCAGTACTTTTTGTTGATTAGGAGAGCGGCAAGCCTGACTTCCATGAAGGTGCTTACTGCATAATCGGTAGGTTATTTTGTAATATTTTAAGGCTTAGAATGCCTATTTTTGCTTAATCCCTACACTCCCCAGCACAATTTGCTTGTCCTCAGGTTTTAGGGGAGGTGTGCATGCTTCAGCTTTTGTAAGCTTCAAAACAGTCCCATGAGAGAGATACTGCTTTTATGCCCATTTTATGGACATGGAAACCAAGAGTGAGCATTTTTTTCTTTTTTTGAAGTTTTTATTTTAATTCCAGTCTAGTTCACATACAGTGTAATATTAGTTTCAGGTGTATAATTCAACACTTCCATACAAAGACCGGGAGCTCATCACAAGTGCCCTCCATCCCTGTCATCTCTTTCACCCATTCCTCCCACCCCCTCTGCTCTCGTAACCATCAGTTTGTTCTCTATGGTTAAGAATCTGTTTCTCTCTCTCTCTCTCTCTCTCTCTCTCTCTCATTTTAATGGCTAGTCCAGGTTCCGGGAGTTGGAAAGTGGCAGGATCTAGGTCTGTCAGATTTTGGAAATTGCACAACCCAGCCTGCCATGATGAATTCAATCCAGAATTCCTCATTTACACCTGATAGTGTCTAGGATAATTGGTGATGGTATACAATTCCCCTTTACTCCCTTTTGTTCATTTTAAAATGGGTCATTTTTCTGTTAAAATGAGCAAATCTTAGCTTGGCCCATCTCCTGAAATTATACACCAAGTTTTGTGGTGAGGAGGAAGCTTCTCTAAGGAAGAGAGCCTGTAGATTTAATCACATTCTCCCAAGAACAGAAGGCCTACTAACCAAGGTACTCCAGATGATAAGAGAGAACCATGGAGCCTAGGCTCTTTGAAATGCAGAACATGGTGCCTCAAGTTGGGTGGTGGTGTACCAGATATCAGCCCGTTTTCAAACCTGGTTGGAAGCAGAAGGGAGTTGTGGTTGACCTCATGATCTGAGCCTGTAGGCAGTAGTGATGGTACCCTGAGTAATGAGTGGGTTGAAGAGAGATGCTTTTGGATCTTAGAATTCAAGATTTTATGCCAAGGCCCACATTGCTAAAGCCGACTGTGATCGTGTCCTCTCAAAAGGGTGGGACACTGCAGCTGTAGACCATGTGTTTTTCTCCCTATGATGTTACAGATTCCCTTCATAGTGTTCCAGTCGCACAAATGGGTAACTATCAGGAATATCTAAAGACGTTGGCTTCTCCTCTTCGAGAGATCGATCCCGATCAACCAAAAAGACTGCATACTTTCGGCAATCCGTTCAAACAAGATAAGAAGGTAAGATGCCGATTTCCGGGTCTGCCTACTTGGTGATATCCTTGCTATAATTCCTTTCTTCTGGGCACGATGAATATAAATCAGAGCTCCCTCTGTTTAAAAGATAAAATAGACTGTAGGGCTCTTTGTGCATGGAAAGCAGGTGCCTCCTGATGCAAAGGTGTGTTGCTTGAAGAAAATAATAGGCCTTGATTGAGTACCAAGTAGGAGCTGGTGTTTTAAATGATCACATTTAATGCTTGCAGTGCAGATGAGTGTTCCTATCTGCCCTTTCATAAGAAGAAATCAAGGCTTACAGTGGTCAAGTGGCATGCCCTGAGTAAACACGGCTGATAAGAGCCAGGATTTGAACCCACATCTTTCCAGCTCCAGAGTCTGTATTCATTCCCATGTCTACACACTAATTCCTCTAATATTGAGATCACCATTTATTTCCTGTTTCCATGACTCAGATCTCTAATGCTCTATCTAGACCGTGATGAAGTGTTCCTCTTGAAATAGGAAGTACTAGGTGATGTTGCTTTATTTGGATTGTCCTACTAGAGATCTAAATGTGACGTGTGTGTGTGTGTGTGTGTGTGTGTGTGTGTGTGAGAGAGAGAGAGATGCTGACTTGACCATTTAAGGATGAGGACACATGGGGATTATATCTGCACACACGGAGAAGACAATTGGTATTAAGGTGCAGACCATACAATAATCTCTCTCGTAACCAAACGAGACTGGAAGGTATCCCACTTCACCCACTTCACCCCCATCCTCAATTAATTGGAGTTTTTCTTAATCTTTCTGTGCCTTGGTTTCCTCACTTGTAGCATTGGGGCTCTTTGTTACGCTTAACTAATAGAGCCCTGTGGAGTATTGAGTGAGTGCGTGTAATACTGTTTCGAACATGACCTGACATGTAGTAAAGCTCAGTGAATGTGTTCTCACCTTTCTGTACTGCTTTGCTTTGGAAAGTGCCTTGGAAATGTCATTTATTATGATTTTATGAAAATACTTCCATATTCTTGGGTTATCCTTGGATGACAACAGCTTTTAGCTACCCTTCTACACTTCTACTCTTATCCTTTACCCCCCAGAGTGAGAATCCCCCCACAGTGGACATATTTGAATCTCTGTGAGGTTGCTGTCGGGGGAATGACATTTTCTTTTTTTTTCCATCAGCCGGCTGTCCACCATTTAGATGCAGCATTCTGTACGGTGATAATCAGTATTTCCTAATGATGCGTTTAAAGCGCAAAAGCACACAAGGGAATTGTTGGTTCAGCATGGTTTGTCCTTCCTCAGAAAGGTCACTGTGGGTTTATTCCCATTTCGGTTCATGCGAGTTGCTCATTCCTCAAGCTTTCTGGGTAACCGTGATTGTACCGTGTCTGACCTTGGCGACCCCTTCTACTGGACCAGAGTGGCGCCGTCTGAGCGAGGAGTCGGTGTGGGGCGTGGCAGATCTCGGGCCCGTGAGCAGGGCCTGTGTTGGTGGTGGGACGCATGATCTTTAATGGAACATGTTCGTTGATGTCTTCTAGGGAATGATGATTGATGAAGCAGATGAGTTCGTAGCAGGGCCACAAAACAAAGTGAAGCGTCCCGGAGAAGCCAGCAGTCCTCTGTCACCTAAGAGAAGGCGGAGTATGTCCCTGCTGTTGGCGGAACCACAAACACCACCTACTGTAACTAACCACGTGGGCGGCAAGGGACCACCCTCAGCCTCGTGGTTACCATCTTATCCAAACCTCATAAAACCCACCCTTGTCCACACAGGTATAGAGTAGTGGTTGTGATTTCCTTATGGCTCCTAGACGACTAAGACACTAAGCAACTTTAGTTTCCTTTGTACTCATTTCTTTTGTATTCGCTTTTTGGTCGTTAAGTAAACCGTTATTAAATCATCCATGGGGTAGGTGCAAAGGTGCCCCGTGGGGCACGGAGGCCCTGCTGTGGAGGTAGGAGCATGTTACTGCGTGAGTCAGAGCGAGGAAGCAGGTTCCCGAAGCAGCAGGAGCGAACGGGCCCAAGAAGAGCATGGCCGGGTCTGCACTGGCTTTGTGGCCTCATCTCCTCTTCCTGCTCTCACCCAGAGGCTCCGCCTCTCCCCTCTGCTGCCACGGGAGTCATCAGGGTCCCCCCCTGTGTCTGCCGCATGTTGCCATTGCTCCTTCGCGCCATTTGACGCAGTTGTTCACTCCCTCCTCCATGGAAACAAACACCACGAGCCCTGGTTTTCTTTGCCCTTTTATGGCAACCCCTCTTCATCCTCTTTTTGTGGTTTCTCCCCTTCTCTCCCACCTGTAAATAGTGTAGGGACCCGAAACTCCATCCTGGCCCCCCTCCCCTCCCTAGGTGACCCCGTGCAGTCTTAGGCTTTCCAGGAGACGCACATGTCAACAACTCGGGTATTTACCCCTCTCGACTACAGCTTGCTCCAAACGCCAGAATTAAATTTATCGATGGACATGGTATCTCCACTGAGGTGTCCGACGGGCAGACAAAACTCAGTCGGTTTCACGTGGTTCATTGGAAAGCCTCACCTCCGCTCTCTCCAAAACAGCTCTCCCCGCAGCCGTCCCCAGTGCATGACGCTTAATCTTAAGTGACACCACCTGTTAGCATGAGGTCAACGAGCCAGATCGGGAAGAGCAGGGCACGATCCACTCTCAGGAGCAGTTGGGCATGGGCCCCTGCCCAGCCCTGGCACTATTATTTCCCCAGGGTTTCAGGTGAAAACCCTTGGAGTCACCATGCTTTCTCTTAATTCTTCTCTCACTTCCATCCCTTAGCAAGTCCAGGCAACCTGACACCCAGTAGAATTCCTGTATCGCCCCCTTTGTCTCCATCCCTCT